CGTGGTTATGCCGAGGTTTATAGAAAGTCGAACTTTTGAACTATGATGCTTTCCTAAGTACCGTGTCTATTATGGCGGCGCCACTTGAAGGTTTTCGGTAAAAAGCGTATTTTTTTGCTCATGTTCAATTTCTCAATATGTGGAGTACTGTGCAAAAACGTCGGTAGTGCAACGGTTAACATACGCTCCCGGAAAGAGTGAGATCTGAATTCAAATCCCGGCTGACGCAAACGTTTTTGCACAGTACTCCACATATTGGGTATACTATAAGATCATGCCACTGCAAGTGGGCAGTCAAAATAGAAAGAATTATGACTGTTTAATTTCTCAAATAGCTTATTTTTGTCACCAGTCAAAATAAAATTTTGTTCCTCAATGAAGATTTCTCACTGGAATAAAAGTTTCGCTGTAATGAACCTTCAGTCGTTAGATAGAGAAAGTCTTTACAATTATAATGGCATATTTGGCTTGCGGAAAGGGCTTCTTCGAGCTCTGTACCGACCGAAAGAACATTGAGTGTCACACTCAGTAAGCACTGCTAGTCGGTTATGGTGTGTGCACAGTTATAATACCAATCCAAGATATAAATCAGGTGTGGATTTTTTGATGAAAGTCAGAGATCTCTCCGTCGCTACAGAATTTTTTCCACATGTCCATGCCTTCTTCCAGAAAAAAAACTTCTGTTGAAAATAATTTATCGTGTTTCACAAATTGACAAACTCACAATAAAAGATAGATCATTGTTTAGAAGACCAGAAAACTTTGATCGCATCCAAGAGTGATTTAAAAACAGCGTCACCTAAATCGGCAATGGCGATTACAACTGAGAGATGGCGAGAAATATACGGACGGTCGCAACAATCAGATATTTTCAGCTGCGATCATTTCACGCCACATGAACTCTTGTTTTTGAATGGGTGCGGAGAACAACGATATTTCAAATGCGTGAAATCCACTCTTCTTGTTCGTTGCAGAGTACTAAAAAAGTTTTTCCTAAACAGCAACCACATCTTCTTAATCAAAAAGATTTGCTCTATCTAATAATTCAAACTTCATTATAAAAAGCTTCAACCAGGCGACAAATCTTCAAATGTGATACAAAATCTAATTTTGACTGGTGCGGCGTTGAAAACAAGCAATATGAGAATTAAAATATACCTTTAGAATACAGTTGATTTGAACCCTAAGATAATCATACATCCAGATAGCAGCAAGGAATACGCTTTTACTGAAGGCCTGAAGTGGCGCTGCCATAATAGAATAGTGCCCTTTTCTGTTATCGGAAAGGCACTTTTGTGGGAGAATATTTTGCTGTACAGAAAGTTTCCAACAAACTGTTAATAAATTTATATTTAACTGTTTCTTGAATCCTCGCCTAGAGCAACATCATCTGATAACTCAATTTAAGCCTTTCATGATATCCATCATGGCATTATGAAAGACAGACACGTGGTTTCTGCCTTTCAACCTCATCGGTATCGCAGCTCCTTGTGCCCGGGTCAATTTCTGTGACGGGATATACGCCCCATATATAAAGGAATCGACGACGAGGATGGTATACTGTACGTGTGTCAAGTGACAAAACCACTCGACATTGCAATAATTGACAGTTGCTTTGCATTTGAATGCCCACGATTAGTGAATTTGATAACAGATATCCTTCTAAACTTTCAAATTTTTCAAAAGCTTAAAGTTAGGGGAATGCAAAAACGTACCTGTTTCTTATAAAGGATTTCTTACAGCGCTCTCGCACTAAAATAAAATCACATTCTACATTCGTCTTGCAATATCGCTTCTATACTTCGCAAGACAAAGCTTTTTGCATAGATTATTGTTACCAATCGACAACGTGGATCTTGCAAATTTTGCAACTAATTTTTTCACAAAGGTTTTTGAAGCAGTATAATAAAAAAAATGGATTTGTGTTTCAAATACGCGTATTTTTCGCAGGACAAAGCTCCTCTTTTGTACTAACAGTGACCACACGATAAGTAAGGTTCAGTGAAACCAAAACTAGGCTTGGTTTGAGAAAGGCCGTTTTACTGCGCTGTAGCAAGAACAATATGATTGAGGTAAATCTACCAAACACCGCGACTGATCTACCGTGCAGTTCCTTTGATCCACCTCGTAACGTGAATCACACGTGGTGATTTCTATTGTTGAGTTCAGGATTTCTTCCCATTCTTGTGAGAAATCTGAGCTAAACATATAGTTCTGCTACTAGAAGATTTCCTTTACAAGTTCATATGCTGGTTCTTTCCGGTTGCGAGTGAATTAATAAATATTCGATTTCATGCGCTACACAAGATTCTCTCATAGGATGCTAGTATTCATTCGAAAACCTGAATTCCTGGCTAGCGCCATGTGTGGCCGATTTTTCAAGACACCGCTTTATAACGCTGTAAAATCTAAAACAAAATTATGTTTCATACGACCACGCGCTGTTTTTTCGTATTTTGCTCATAGTTCGCTGGACAAAACTCCTTGTTGAAACTACTTGTAGTCTTTCGATAGCACAAATATTAAAGAATTCAAAAATATGCTCGCCTTTTGTAGAGCTCATTTGATAGCGCTGTGAGAGAATGAAACAATTGTATTTTACACGTCGTCAGACAGAGCTATTTCTTTGGGCTATTAGTAATCATACGATAGCGTGAGATTCAACGATTCCAACCTGCGCTTAATTATTGTAAAATCGTTTTTCTGCAGTGTAGCAAAAAAGCGAGATTAAGATTATTTCATATGCGTCATTATGTGTTCTTTGGCAAATTCATGGGCCGCGGCGAGGGCGGCAAAGGGAGCAGGCGCTATGGCCGATCGATTTTTTCGCATGAAACTGCTATGCTTGATTCTTGATTTTCTTCTTTGAGCAGAACACGAGGTGTTACATTAAACTTAAACTGCTATGCTTGTTATATAAAAAATTTATTCTCCGCTTTAAGAGAAACTTTCGCTTAAACGATCAATTCAAACACTACGGAATTCTCTCTATTCTTGTGCTTTTGGTGCTTCCGGCGTACTAATAGGTGAATTGCACGGCCGATGTGAAACATACTTTTACTTTGGCTTTGTGCGGTTCGGACGACACGAATAACAACAGGAGGTGCGCGGTCTAATGATATTGTGATACTAAGATAGTAAAAGATTTTGAGGAGACTCATCGCGCAGAAGGAGATGAGCGGCTTGGAGAGTGTTTGAGAAAAAGGAACATCCGACTCCGTGCCCATCTTCTTGATTCGACAATTATCCCTGTCCTAACGTATGTAGCAGAAACCTGGTCTTTGCGTGAGCAGGATAAAGGTCACTTGGGGTTATTGAATGTGCAGTCAAAAGGTCCATGTTAGGAGCATCCAGTATATCTCAAATGAGGACTGGAAGCATTATCCATCAAGCTCGGCGAAGTCTTCGGCGAGAAAAAGACTCTTTATGAATTTCTTGTTAAAGACTTGAATGCCAGATTGCGATGGAATCCCTTCGCAGGCATTTTGCTCTACATCGCAGTCCCAATTTTAGGAAGCCTCCAAAGGCATTAGGCAGTAAACCATTGAGAGGGCTTACACAAATCTTTTGAAATTAATCGACACGTCTAGCGGCAGCACAAATCTTCGAAACTTATCCCACATTTAGGATTCAGGAATATAGGCATCGATAACGAACCACATCAAAAGTTGGAGAATGGGCCTTGCGGACTTGTCATCATGCTCGACACAAGCTATACCCATGAAAGACGATTGTTGCAGAGAGAATGGAAAGGGAATTATGCTGACGTCTGCATTGACAGTAGCGAGGCCTACTCAAGCATTCGAGCAAGTATTTTGTCACGCATAGGTTTTTTTTCAAAAAATTTGCAATCCAAGTGTTTACCTACTATGTATCAGTTTCACTAATAGTTAGGATCAGCTGATCTCGGGTAACTTACAGCATTATTCAGAGAAGTTATGGCAAACATAGTGTCATACCTGCCGTAGTTTTGTTGTTGTATTGAAAGGACGAACCAGAAGTTTAGGCCCTGATTGTGAATGTGAGTGCGCTTCACAGCAAATCCATCTATAAATACTAATATTATTTTCATGTGGTAATATCTTTATCGCTAATATTTGTGTGAATATGAAAGAGTAAAAACAAAGAACGACTTGTTTTTGGTGGGTTTCCTTTCTACTATGGCTATCTTCTTCTCGTGTTATCTCAAATTAGGTGCACAATTCACTTTGCGCCGTGTTCTACATCATGAGCATTGAAGTTGTGGGTATAAAAAAATAGGCGATATCAAGTTATCAGGCTGATGAGAAGGTCCAACCGTACAACACTAGCTGATATCTTAGCCGTTTCTTCTTTTTCAAGATCTGAATAGGTCAATGATACGCAATCTACTCAGCAAATGAAGCAAATCACTTTTATTACCTAAGCAAATGAAACTTCACATAGTATTCTATATGAACTCTTTTGTTTTGCTCCTTTTGCAGCTTCATATTGCTATTAATATAGATACAGGATTATTGAGTGATATGCAAGCCTTCTAACTTCAGGCTGGAGGTGAACTCGCGTTTCATCCATAATGAAGCCGCATGCTATCACTCCACCATCGAAGCTCTGTCCAGACGTCGATTGTTAGTCGAATGAACTTTTTTCAATAATCTCGCTGCTGCGTTCTTAAAGGTCCTCCAATTTTTATTGCAACACTACTTCTTGTGCATCACTTCTACATTTGTTGAATTTATGCGAAACACAATGAGATTTTGACGCTTTGTTACTCTGGATTCTTGTGCGTGGGTGGTGTCCTTTACCTCAAAATCTTCTCCGTTATTCTTTTATAATGTTCGCGTAGTAGACTATATTGCTTGACACAATTTTCTGCATTTAGGTGCTCTATATGAACGTAGTAGTCCACCCATTTTTTCAATGTATTCTTCACTGCACACTTCACGAGAGACCATTTAACAATACGAATCAATGTGATCGTTGTTTTTTATCTAAGAGAATTGAGCGGTGCGCAAATATTCGACCTCAAGCGGGAGTTGATCCAAGGTTTCACCCATACCAGGGGTGCGTGCTGCCACTACACCACCGACGCCACTGCTTACCCATCTCCCATTCTTCAAAATCTTATACCTTTCCTTCCAGTGCTTTATTAAGACCACGCTCAAATCTCAATAGATCCTTTCATTATTATTTGAGCTAACATTTCATGTGGTCTGGTAAGGGCTCTTGTACAGCCCGAGACACGTGTTTCGTCCTTACAGACTCATCAGCCGGGCAGAACCCGTCGTCTGTCGATCTTTTTATAGTCAGTACTCTCGGGAGCGTTACACTCCTTATAGAGAGTTGTCGACGACGTACGTCTTACGCTCTATGTCAAGCGAAATTTTCACCAACACAGAGTGTTTTCTGGTATTTTTTATCATATTATACGTTTCCTTCGAGCCAGCTAGCAATCGAGTGCAAAAACACTCTGTGTTAGGTGAAAAGTTCGCTTGACATAGAGCGTAAGACGTACGTCGTCGACAACTCTCTATAAGGAGTGTAACGCTCCCGAGAGAACTGACTATAAAAAGATCGACAGACGACGAGTTCTGCCCGGCTGATGAGTCTGTAAGGACGAAACACGTGTCTCGGGCTGTACAAGAGCCCTTACCAGACCACATGAAATGTTGGCTCAAATAATAATGAAAGGATCTTCAAAATCTCTCAGACACAGTTAACAGCCACCAACCTTTAACAGGTCTGGTCGGGTAAGCAAGATCGCTCCATGAATCCAGTCAAGATGACAACCATTGTACGTCTGGAAATCCAAGAATTCTTATGTTTTCACTACTTTTTTGCAGTGGTGTGATGTTTCAAGTAAGCACCAGCCACATTTTCTTGTAAATTGCTGAAAAGAAAAGGCTCCGTGCTATGAACATTGTGATGTTTTCAATTTCACCTTTGGAGTTGCATGGCGTTTAACAGAATCACCTGAACTTTGTTCGCCCTTGAGTTCAAATCCATCATTAAGCCTTGTGCTACGAATGAAACTGGATCCTTCTCAAGGAAAACTGAAGGTCATACAACTTACTTGCTAGCTCAATCTACGCTTAAGAGTTTGTAATCAGTGGTCACCGTGCTGTCTATCCTCTTAACGTCATAAGCCCGCGGACGCCGTTCCTGAGTTATCGCTCTCGTTGGATTATTTTCTCCCTCTGTAAGGCATGTAGTAAGTATCGCAGTCTCCTAACGAGAAAAAAATCGGCTCTCTTGTATTTTCTATTCTTATTGTATTTTTACATACCCATCTTTCTAGTTATGTTTTCCATTTTATCATTTAATGACGCTACAGCACATCTATCTCAGATGCCAGCCTTCAACGGCCTGGCCCGGGTAGTCGGTCTCGACATTTAACTTAGTCACGCTGACAGATATTGGGTATTATAGACCAAATGATATTCTTTGGGCAAAATGGGCGTCACTAGTGTAACGGATAGAGCACCCCTACCCGGAAAGAGTGATGTGCGGGTTCTAGCCCCGCCTGACGCAAAGTTTTGCACATCACTCTACATCAATGTGAATATACTTGGAACATCATACTACCGCTATAAGCAGTTTAATAAAAAGAATATCATTTGATCTGCAATACTTAAAACTAGTCGAAGTTTTGAATTCCTACGTATTGATATTCAGGCTGTACACTTCAAATAGTTGTCAGGGTAACTGCGTTTAAGGGCGATGGGTGCTTAAGCGACTGAACTCGTTAAAAGTTGCTTGCTGGCAGCTACTATAGCTCATACTAAAAAGGAATAGGTAACATCGGTGGTGTACTGATATCACATGCCACCGCCACGAATGCCCACTGATGTAGAGTGATGTGCAAAACTTGTGCGTCAGTTGAGACTTAAACCCAAATTTTACCCTATCAAGGGCGCGTGCTCGAATCGCTGCACTACAGACGCGTGCTGTGGCACCACTTTCTCTACTATACCACAGCAGTGCATCGGCTCGAGCACGTGCCTCTGGATAGGGTTAATTATGGGTACGAGTCCCAGCTGACTCAAAACTTTTGCACATCACTCTACATCGCTGGGTATATTGAAACATCGTGCTACCGCTAAAAGCAGTTAGGTTAAAAGAGTTCTGTTTGATCTCAGCTATCTTTTTATATTAATTCTCACTTAACAGATAGTTGCGTGCTTTCTACAAACGGTAGAGGCGGAGAAACGAAGAGTTAACACACTCTGTACCTATCTCTTCTGAGATGTGTGGTGACGAATACTCTGAAACGGGTAGACCTTTGTGCCCGCATTCAGGAATACCTTAACGGAAAGCCGAAAAGTTGGACAAGTGCTCTCTTCGGTGCGCATGAGACCGAGAGGTACAACAGAGACGACTTTGAGGTAGTCAGAATCCTGGGACAAGAATCGGTAACGTCGTCTCAAGAAACTTTGACGTCGTTTTAAATGAACTACAGCGTCCAGGAATAAGGAAGCAAGGATTTCTAAGCATTTCAAATGATAAAGCGCCTACCTTAGATTCATTTCCAATACTGACTAATTTTCACTCTTCCCACTGCGTCATGTCTTCATGTCACATTGCGTCTTCACACGCCGGCAACCTTTCACATATAAGTCATTTGGTGGTAGGTTTCAAAATTTCTGAACTGATTTCGCATACTGCTTAAAGTATTTATACGAAATGTAGCCGAATAACTAGGATGAAAATATATAGCACATCTAAGCATTGAAGAAAGCGAAGTTGCCGAAGCATCAACTATTAATTTTGGACAAGATATATCAACCTTCCGCAGATCTCAAAAAAGATAATTAATTTCCTAAGCCTTATAAGGTTTGACTCCATTGAATATTTGGGACACTTGTATGAAAGAAAGCAGTTGTTGTTCAAAAGAAGTTGTTAACAATAAAAAGATAGAAGGATAAAGCTCTCGGCGTTGATCAATCCCTGAGGGATGCGCCATGCATTGTTCTTCAATTTTCAACTTCGTTTGAGGTGATTGAGTGCACATCTGGCCTAAACAATAATTCGCGGTGGCCTCCCACTGTATCAGATCAGTGCTGCCTGTCCTCCCAGACAATCTAAGACCAGTCTGGTACCAATCTACCGACCCCGGAGGGGATGGATGCTTGGTAAGCCATGAGCACGAGATCGAACCATTGGCCTCGTGTGTGACTCATAGCACCTCTGACCACTGTGCCACCTGAGTGCGCTGACTACAACATGAACCGAGATTTGGATATGACCTTTCTGCTTAGACTAATAAGCTGTTTGACTGAATAACTAGCTGGCCAGTTATATCTCTCTGGGATCAAAAAAAGGTAAAATTGTCGAAATGTTGGCCACTGTTGTGTTATATTTAATAAATATTGTATGGAATGAATCTCCGTTTAGCAGCCTCATTTCTGCTTTTCAAGAATACGGGGAATTCTTCAATTCCTATGATTTTCTTTTTTATTGAATTAACCAACATCACGTGCATCAAATTCTGTGTTTCCCGCCTTCGATTCGCTTCTTCACATCCATTCCATTAAAACTTTCACTCTTTGTGTGTAATTCCTGCGGCCACTCGTGTTTTATTTTTCGCCTTCATCGAAAAAAAGGCTGAATGCTGGTCGAGTAGATTCTTCGTGAAATACTTAGATAGCCTTGCTAGAATGCTTCTATAGGAGAAAGAGGTCATCTCAGACAATCAATGTTCCGATTCGGAAACGTTTTCCCAATCTCAGGGGCGTACGACTCGGTAGGCACTAGACTCGGTCAGTTAGGATCCGAGTAAGCTGGGCGTCTGCGTAATCAACGGCATCATCATACCAATGAGCTTCCCATTCCTTTATGGATCCCATGTTAGGTATAACTTTTTTATGTAAATAGAAACATAGTGGTCGTTACTCAAGATAGTACATAATTCAATCTGACTTTTATCTCTGATTTTTCGAAGAAAACGTGCCAGTATAAGCAAATAATACATTTCTTTACAAACCGTTTATGACCTGTCTAGTTATGCGTACTACCGGGAGTCATCCACTCAGTAATAACTTACTAACCGGAGCTCATTTGTTCCTAGTGTCAGCGGGGGCCACAGCGGCGTGAGCTCGGCTCAAGGGACACGGAAAAAAAATCGCACTTTCGTCTGAGGTCTTGCGTTCTACGTTTCATGAAAAGTTACAGCTTTAGCCAAAATCCTTAGGGTACCTTCTTTATAGTGAAGGAAAGCCGTAGAGAACTTTATCACTATGTATTTGCTCAGATATATTTCACTTTCAGGAAGGCATTAGCACTTTTTATTACACAGTAATTCCTAAGAACTTAAAACCAATGGAACAGATGTTGAAACACTTTGCAGAAAACACCATTGATAATTGCATGGCATTCAAGTAACAGGATTTTATAGGAGGAATATTATGAGAGGATTAGAGAATTATTTCTCCGTTACCTTAGCAACTTTGGTAATCTTTTAGCCAATATACGAAAAAATATTATTATAATAATAGGCTGTGCTCGTGATCGTTAAAAAATGTTGTTGAATGTTTGTCATTTGATTATTTTCATAGTCCTGGAATAGTTGAATAGTTATAGATTATACCCTCTTTACATCCTTTCTGTAGAAAACATTCACCGGTTTTTGTCGAGCGAGCGAAGTATTCTGAAACAGTTATTGTACAGATTTGTTGAACGCGGAAGGTTGTCATGCTTGACTAGTTATGAGCGATGCTGAAACAACGAGCAGCCGTGTAGGCAAAAAATCTCAAGCCATTGCGTTCACCTCACCCATAGACTCCCTGATTTTCTAGACTATCAAATCATAAGTTCATAAATCTTGTTCTGTGACGGAAAAGGTAGCTGTAAACTCAGTCGTTCATTTACGCCCTATTAAGCTAAACTAATTAGCGCAGAGTACTTTTCCTACGCTGTCAGAGGGATTTGTTAGATTTAATTTAAATTTATTACACTCGCTGTGTTTTTCTACCATAATATGCAGTTATTTTCACTTGCAATTAATTACCATAAAACCTTAGTTGGCAGTCCTTCACATCGCCTTCATTTCTGGCATAGAACTCGTAGCATTGCAATGATATATCTAGCGCAAAT